GCCCCTCCTCCACCCCAGAGCCCCTAGACCTAGGGGCTACAACCTGCCTCCACATCTCCTCTCTTCCCCTCCCCTCAATGCTACCCACCCCATCTCTGGACCCACTTTCCTCTTCTCTTTGTAAATGCCACTGACAGCCTGAGGTCTTGCACATACATCTGCTTCCTTGGCCACAGGGACTATCGACTCCACAGCACACGTCAACAGGGAACTTTCAGCGGTCATATGCCAAGGCTTTGGGGAACATAGCCCTGTCCATCAATACCCGGGCCTGGAAAGGACACTGGATGACACATGAAGAACACTGGAGCTTGGAGCAAGGCTGGCGCCTCCCCAAAACAGTGGCTCCAGAGAGAACAGGCCAGCTGGTAGCCCTTCGCTGTCTGATGCAGACTGTACCCTCATCTGTGTCTGCTAGGCCACCAGCCAGAGGGGCATTCCTGGCTGTGGAGCAGGGAGGAATGATGGAGCAAATTCAGAGGGATCCCAGGGTCTACTGTGTATTGTCTTATTCCCTATCAGTTCTTGCCTTCTCTGTCTTCTCCTCATCTTCAGCTAAGAAAAAAGGAAGCACGGTGGGGGGCAGCCAAGACCTTGGACCAACCTGGATGCTAATTTCAATTCACAACACTGGATGTAAGCCCTGGCCAGCAGCCCTCAGCTACTTCCAGCTCAGCCACCCGAGGCTCCTAGGGCTGAAAATACCCAAGCATCTGATGAAGCAGCTGCAGGTTAAATTTAGCCCTGGCGAACCTGGGACTGAGCTGGGTGCTAGGAGCAGCAAAGCAGATGGACTGACGCACCCTTCACAGGTGTGCGGACTGACGATGGCACCTGGGAGGGAAGTGGAGCAAGGGACAGAGATGGGGCGGGGCCCAAAGCTGGTTCTCATCTTGCAGAAGTATGACAGGACCCGTCAGCCCAGCACTGCTGTCTGCAGATGCCAGGCAGGTAGCATCAACAAGCAAGGCAGAAAGATGTACAGAAAGGGGAAGGGTGAGATTGTAATAAAGTGCAGGGCAGATGTCTCACCTTAAACCACTGGAATAGCCTGGGTGACAGAGGGAGACTCTGTCTCTAAATAAATATATAACAAAGCCACTGGAATTCAGATTTTTAAATAAGATCATGTTAGCTAAATAAACTCCTGCATTTGCTCTGCAGACTCTCAGTGTGATACCTGGGCCTAGGTGAGTGGAGTAGGCAACCCCATGTCCATCATTTCACCATCAGCTATTTCATTCTTTGTTTCTTTAGAGTCTCCTGTTAAAATCCAAACAGACCTCTGGCTTTGAGCTTTCTTAGCTAACTCAGTTATTCTTACTGATCCCTTTAAAGGAGGAAGGAAGCGGAAATCATCAGCATACATGAACAAATAACTGGTAAATTAGCACCTGTTAATATGTTTAGAATCAACTAGCTGTTACCTGTATTAAGTGGCAGTTATTGAATGCAAAGAATTCCACTCAACTTGGGTTGGAGTCAGACAGGCTTCAGTCTAATTCCTGGCTCTACCACCACTAGGAAACTAATGAACTTCCCCAAACTGCAGCTTCCTCTGTGGTAGGATGGCAATCATATGCCTTTCTTGGACTGTTATGAAGATTAAATGAAATAACCCAGGACAGTGTTCAACATGAGATAATTCATGCTCAGTAAACGGCAGATGAACTTGAATCATCAGAAAGCCAGGTTCTGTGGCACAGGGACTAAGAGCGGGACGGGAAGAAGGCAGTAGGAGAGCCCTTCAGCGGCTCCCAGCTTTCCTGGAGCCTGGGTCCTAGCCCAGGTCAGCCCTCTCAGAATCAGAGGGCTTCAGAGCCACATGGGACCACACTGCCCCCCTGTGCCCATTTGCCACACTGCGGCTGCATTCAAGCAAAGTTGCCATTTGAGATGCAGAATCAGGCCTGTAGACCACAACTTCACCATTGTCTCTACTCCACTGGAACTCCTCCTGCTGTCTTGTGCTGACTTGGGTGGCTGTAGAAGGCAATTATCTAAGACTGCAACAACCTGTCTTGCCAGTCACCCAAGCAAGCTACCCCCACTAGGAAGCACTTGTCCAACATCCCTGAGCCAGCACTCACCCACAGACAGCCAAATAGTGTAAACACCTGGATCGATTTCAAAATAAACATCCATTGACACCAATCCAGACCTACACAATCAAAATATCTGAGGATGGATCTGGGGATCCATATAAAAAGAAAAACTTTCCCAAAGGAACTTACATTCAGCCGATTTTGAAAACACACTGCTTTAAACTCTTACTGGGCTGCCCTGCAACACCTCTGGGTCTGACTTGGTTTTACAAGTGACACAAGGAGAAAATGGCAGTGCTCTCTGCAATGAAAATAAGTATTCCCACAGAGCTGGAGAAGCAAGGAGGTAAGGAGTGGATGAAAGGAAGCGGACAGAGCAGGAGGTGGAAAAAAGGAGGCCCTGAGGAAGACAGACAGAAAAGAAGGAAAACAGGCAGAGAGAGAGAGAAATGGGAAAGAGGAGGAAAGGGAGGAGGAGGGAGGGAGGGAGGGAGGGAAGGGGGAGAGATGTATTAAGATAGACATGAGAAGGATGCAGCACACTCCTAACCTCATGACGGCACTTTGCTAGGGCAGTAATAACCTGTGCCAAAACAACATAGTAGATTAAGAAAAAAAACTATTTTAATGTTGACATAAGATTCATACCTACAATATGCAAAAACTTCTACATAATGACAAGGATACAAAAAACGCAAAGAAATGAGCAAAGACACGGAGAGAAGATCCAAATACTCAAGACATGAAAAAGTGTTCAGCTCACTAGCAGTTTGGGAAATGCCGATCATTATTATATGCCTATGCTTACTGGCAAAAGTCAGAAAGCCACTTACTTATTGCTGGGTGGGATGTAGGGGAAAGGACTTCTTTAAATCTTGATGGTAAAAGACGTCAATTTTTCCTGAACTTCAAAATGTTATCTGATGTCATCTAACAAAATTTACCACTCAATCAATCCACCTGTTTCATTCTGGGGACTTGCTCTTGAGATAAAAACATCAGGACACATCAGCATTTGCACAAGAATGTGAATTGCAGCATGGTTCCCAGTATAAAAACACCAGTACAAAGAAAAAGGCCAGTAATAATAAGTACTGTTGAATAAACACTGATACATCTAGCCCATTCAATATGGCTTTATACAGCAATTAAAAGGAATGAATAAGAGCCATATTGGAGTTGAAATTTAAGGAGTGAGGTATTGGGTGGAAAACAATTTTTTTTAAAAGGCAAAAATGTTCATAATAGTGCTCCATTTTTGTAAAACAAAGCGACAGAAATTTCTAGTGCATATATGTGTATGTGTATGCAGGGCTGATATTAGCCAGCCCGCACTGATGAAACCATATTGGATATTTCAGCCAGTGCTCACTGTGCGTGGATGGTACTGTGCATACTGCAGCCAGTACATATTTGCTACGTATTTTGAATGTCATTCCTGCACATATGCATTCATGTTACTGTATATAAGCATATAAGAAATATGGAGAAAATATAGGTGGCTATATAGTAGGTGGTTAACATGGACTACTTGGAAAGGAAAGGAGGCTTCTTTAGGTAGGACAAGGGGAACTAAAAGAGGGGATAACCAATCCAATAAGGACAAGAAAAATAAAGACAGTAGGGAAAACGTGTATAACACAGTCACAAATATGCTATGCATTTCTGTAAAATTATATACATGTTTTCAAGTACATAGAATTTTAAAAATATGTGAGAAGCTTGTATTAGTCTGCAGTTGTTGCAATCATGCTGTGTAACAACCCAAACCCCCAAATCTCAGCAATATACAATAAAAACATGTATTTCTCATTCACAGATCTGTGGGTCAGGCTCCAGTCAGCTCCTTGTGTCTCTCATTCTGAAACCAGAACTGCCCGGGGCACGCTCTTCTCGTGGGAAGTGGCAATGGCACAGGAGGGTAAGCTAAGGCACACAAGCACACGTCAAGTCCCTGCTCATGTCTCATTCACTGACACTCTGATGTCTGAAGGAAGTCACATGGCCAACCCAACATCAGCAGGATAATATGCTCTTCCCATAAAGCAGGGGGAGGGAGGGGAGGGAGAGCAAATACTTGCTAAATGAAAATACAATCTCCTCCAGAGTCCTGTGGAAAGCTAGGCAAAGGAGTATGATTTACCATGGAGAGAGAGCTCTCTTGAACAAGAAAAGAGAAGTGAAGACAATGACATGGGCATGTTGGGCAAATGGCCTAGTCAATTGGAGAACACAGATAGCTCTGTCCTGACACCACATCACAACAGATGAGATACTTGCTGGGGAAGAGTGTAAACTGGTGCAACATTTTTGGAAGACTGTTTGATAATGTATCTTAAAATATAAAATGCACAAACTTGAAAAACAAGTCTGCAATATCTCTCCTGGAATGGAACATATCTGTGGCTATACTAGCCAAATTATGTCAAGTAAAGCAATATTTATAGAAGGAAACAAAAACTAGGAAAAATACCTAAATATCAGAAGAAAATGATTCAATAAATCACGCTATATTCATAAAATGTAACATTCTGCAATTGTTAAAAACAAAATACAAGCACTCTACACATGCACAGACCTAGAAATATCTTCAAGATATATTAGTAAGTTTAAAATCAAAGTTCAAAAAACTGAGGAAAGAATATAAGCAGGCAAGTCATACATAAGAAAACCCAAATTGTGAATGAAAATAGAACATGCTCTACTTCACTAATGAGTAGGGATTTGGAATTACAAATACAGTAAGACACCATTCCACCCTCGGAAAAATTGATTTTAAAAATCTGACAATACCAAGTGTTGACAAAAATGTAGAACAGCAGGAACTCTTACACGGTAGCAATAGTATCATTCACAAGTAATAAAGGAAACTGCCTCTTGAAACTTCTACTCAACAAGGGAACAGCTGATGATATAGAAGGTTTCAGAGCACATCTGAGTCAGGAGCTCACTCACCTGGGTGTCGGCGGGCCTCGGGTCCTTGCTGGCTGAGAGCTGGAGACATCAGTTTCTTGCCACCTGGGCCTCTCCATAGGACTACTTCCCACATGACAACTCGATTCCTGCAGATGGAGGGCTTTGTGAGAAGCAGAGCAAGCAACGGCATGCAAAGCTCAGGTCACAGTCCCTCTGCAACCTAATCTCATAAATGACATCCCATCATTGTGTTCTATTTGTTAGAAGCAAATCTTAGGTCCGACTACACTCAAGGGGATGGGATTACACAGGGCATCAGTACTGAGAGGCCAGGATCCTTGAAACCGATTTTAGAGACTGCCTAACACAATATCACTTGAGCCCCTGAAGCCAGCCATGCCTGAAACTAGATTTCTCCTGTTCTGCTCAGTTATGAGAGGTAATACATTCTCACTTTGTAAAAATCAGTCCAAGTTGGGTTTCTGTCATGTCATGTGTAGCCCAAAGAGCCCTTTACTAAAACATTAATATGCACCCTGAAGGCAAACATCATCACCAATAACACAAGAGCAGCAAGAGAGAGGTCATCAGACAAGCTTTCCTTGGAGTGAACACAATTGTTTTTTAGGTTTTTAAAAATTATTATTTATTTTTTGGCGGTTCTATGCCCAGTGCCTACCAAGCAGAATCCTTAACTGTTCTGTACAATCCTTGATGGTATTTTTGGGCTTATTCTGCCTAGTTATAAAAATCTAACATTCTCAGATTCTTCTCAGCTAATTTAGCATGCCTGTGTGCAGTGTGAGAGCATGCCAAATGCAGAGCTTTCCTGCCAAAAATGACAGTGACTAGAATTAGACCATCAGGAGTGCAATTAGCTTAGACATGCTATTAACACCCCAACCATGAACACAGAAGGAAAAGCTGGAAAAAAATTGGAAGTTAAAAGAAAAATAAGTTAGCTCAGTTAATGGCAAACAACAAAATAAATTTCTACCCCAACTTTGTTGTGGTTGTTTATAAATGATGCAAAATTTTAACAATCACTTGCATAAGTGTAGAAGAAAAACAACCTATCATGTATCTCTGGCTAATTAGTAAACTATACTATGGATAACACTGAGATTTGAAAATTCTCCCTTCTATACCCAGCCTTAAAATGTATTCTCTTTAGCACCCAATCATGGTGGATGATACCACTTATCTCTCAGATACTCAATCACAACATGAAAGCTGGATGACTTGGTTTGCTTTATAAAAGAGATCATCTGTGTATGTAATGCCTAAATGTGTGTGTGTGTGTGTGTGTGTGTGTGTGTGTGTGTGTGTGTGTATCTGATTTAAAGACAGTGTCTTACTGTATTGCCCAGGCTAGAGTACAGTGGCTATTCACAAGTGCAATCTTAGCACACTGCAGCCACAAACTGCTGGACTCAAGTGATTCTCCTTCCTCAGCCTCCCAAGTAGCTGAGAGAACCACTACACTCACCTCATAAAATACATTATTTTTAAAAATTCCAGACGCTTTTTTTTTTTTTTTTTTTTGAGACAGGGTCTCACTCTGTTGCTCAGGCTGGAGTGCAGTGGCATGATCTTGGCTCGCTGTAGCCTCAATCTCCTGGGCTCAAGAGATTCGCCTACCTCAGTCTCCTGAGTTGCTGGGACCACAGGTGCACCCTACCATGTCCAGCTAATTTTTTTTCTTTTTTGTAGAAATAGGGTCTCACTACGTTGCCCAGACCAATCTTGAACTCCTGGGCTTAAACAACCCTCCCACACCTTAGCCTCCCGAAGTGCTAAGATTACAGGTATGGGCCACCACACCTGGCCAGTGATTATATTTTTAACAGAAGATGCTCACATGCACAGCAGTGTTCCACTTTCCTCTATAGCAGGGGTTGTCAAACTTGAGTATGCTTCCAAATCATCTGGGGGGACTTGCTGAAACGCAGATGGCCTGTTGAAACCCATCCCTGAGTTTCTGATTTGGTTGGTCTGGGGTAAGAACCTAGAATCTGCATTTTGAACCCGTTTCCAGGTGATGCTTTTGCCAGTCGAGGACCAGTGCTCCAAGAGTTGAAGGGAACGTGTTCCTCTCACAGCCACTCTCCGACGCCTGGCTCACTCACGCCTAGCACTCTCACTGTTCTCTGGCATTGCTAATTCTCTGACCGCCATCCTTCTCTTTCAGTTCTATTTCTCCTAGCCACCAAGAAAGGCAACCCAACTCTGTGACATTTCAGGCATTTGTTAGCTTAAAAAAATTAATTTCTAGGCCAGGCACAGTGGCTCATGCCTGTAATCCCAACTCTTTGGGAAGCCGAGGTGGGTGGATCACAAGGTCAGGAGATCAAGACCATTCTGGCCAACATGGTGAAACCCCATCTCTACTAAAAATACAAAAATTAGCTGAGTGTGGTGGTATGCACCTGTAATCCCAACTACTCAGGAGGCTGAAGCAGACAAATTGCTTAGATCAGGGAGGCAGAGATTGCAGTGACCCGGGATCACATCACTATACTCCAGCCTGGCAACAGAGTGAGAGTCCATCTCAAAAAAAAAAAATTTATTTCTGATGACTTCTGTTTTATTCTAAATAAATTTTCCCTTTTGTATCTAGTTTTCCTTCCTAATTTTGTGCTCTTTTGCTTACAGATCACTGACACACACACAATTATGTCAACCTCAGGCCCCACCGGACTAATAGTCCATTATCGCATTGCTATAAGAAATACCTGAGACTGGGGAATGTATAAGAAAAGAGGTTTAATTGGCTTATGGTTCTGCAGGCTGCACAGGAAGCATAGAGGTTTCTGCTTCTAGGGAGGCCTCAGGAAGCTTCCGGTCATGGCAGAAGGTGAAAGGCGAGCAGATGTTTCACATGATGGAAGAAAGAGCAAAGAGAGCAAGGCAGGAGGTGTCACACACCTTTAAATCACCAGATCCCACCAGAACTCACTATCATGATGACAGTAGCAAGAGGATGGTGCTAAACCATTTACAAGAAACACCTCCATGATCCCATTGCCTCCCACAAGACCCCACCTCCAACACTGAGAATTACAATTGAACATGAGATTTGGGTGGGGACACAGAGCCAAACTGTATCACCCACAAAACCTGGACTTGCTTCATTGCATGTAGCTCTTCATGGGAGGAGCCTGAGAGAGGGTAACTACCTAAAGTAGATGTTCAACATCTCCACAAACTCCCCCTTCACCCTCTTCTGGACAGACAGAGGGAAACTCCTCCAAAGGCGCTGACTTCTAGAAGGAGACCTGTCCTAAGCACTGAGCTCCTGGAGGGAGGTTGGTCGCATGCCTTCAGCATGGCAAGAGGAAGTGACCCCTCCCCGCCAAAACCCTGCCACTAACACCAGCCAGGACATTTCCAATGCCTCCAGGGCCCGAGGCCAGGTGAAACCAGAAGGGCCAGGATACCTGTGAAGATTTAACAGCTGGTGCAGTACCACAGCAGGTATTAAATTAAGTCGTGTTTTGAATATTCTCCCTGGAAGCCCAAAGATCTAGGGATAGAGCCAGAGAGAACTGTGACATTTAGCCCAGTCTGACTTTCACCCAGGCACTGCTCCCCTGGCTTATTTATTTACCCGATCACGGGTGCTCTCCCCAACAAGAAGGTAAGCATCTTAATAGCAGCAGCTTTGGCCATCGGCATTATACGTCAAAATAGAAAGCAATGCACTGCAGGGCTTTTTTTCAGTCTTGGGTAAGACTGAACTTGAAATCAGAAACTACGTGTTTCAAAAATGATCATGAAGAAACATAAAAAAAAAGAAAATACTATCATCACAAATGCTTTGAGAATACCAAGGCTAGCTCGTCTCACAGAAACTAAAAAAATGCATCTTAGCCAAGTTGGAGTAAAGGCCCTTTCAAGCCAGATCATCAAACTGGGTGCTTCATTTGCCACAGGAATTCTTGCGAAATTCTATGTTAACTGCCATGGTTTACTTTATATAAGCCTTAACCTAGAGACTATGACACTTGTTTTACTTTTTGCTGGATAAATTGAATTTTCTCATTGTACATTTGTTATGGAAAATTTGGTTACCATAAATCTTACATTATTTAACCAATTATTGGTGACTTCTCTAATCATATTATAACTAACCAAGCCAGGACTATAAAAAGTGGTGTAGATTCACTTGCAGTTAGAAAAATCAACATGAACTTTTCCCCTTCACATTAAGTCATGTAAAGTGGGTTGACTGTTTCTTTATTAGCTTTTTAAAATAATGATAATAGCAGAATAGTTTTAAAAAGCAACACAAGAGCTTGACACTTTTTCCGCCTGTATCCCAGCATCTAAAAGAGTGTGCAGTACTTAATATGTGTTCTGTAAATGTTTGTTGACTGCCTTACTCATTGGTTTCTGATTAACACTGAGAGGAAAATTATTCGTTAGCACAGGGCTCAACTGTAAGTCAAAACGTTAGAGTAGAACTTTCCTGGGGTTCTCTGAAATAATTTTTATCAATTTGCCTCAAATCTTTAAAATGTCTATGCGTTCCTCAAATACATAACTTATGATCATGAAGGAGGCTGAATCCAGTGAGAGATGAAATGCAGTTATGAACCATATCCTTTAAAACTGTTGGTCCCAATACATGAAGCAGTAAATCAGGAGGCCACTAGAGGGCAACAAGGGCCACGAATTTATTCCCGCACCAAGAGAGCCCACTGAGGGTATGGGAATGACCTAATTCCCATTTAGGCCCAGTTTCTATGAGACAGGGCAGAGGTGAGAACATTGCTGAAAAAAACAATGAAGACAGAGATGGATGATTTTCTTTTAAATCCAAATTAGCAAAGCACATTAATCAAATAGGAAATGCTTAAAAGTCATGGACACAGGGATCAGAGAACAATCACATTACTAGCAGTGTTAAATGTAAGGTTGAAAATATCAAAGGCCAGGGAGAATATGCAAAATCAATACCTGAATCACTAGAAATTCAAGAATATGAAGACAGAAAGCAGAGGGCACATGGTCTGGTAAACCTGGGCTGACCCTCTCAGCCTGAATGAAGAACTGATTCGAATCCCCTGCAGCCACTCGATATTCCTGAACTATGTCCTGTGATGAAGAAAAACCATTTTAGGCATTTGGGATTTCTCTAACT